ACTTGTTTCAAGTGGGATAGAGGGAGATATCAAAAACAAATATTATCCAATAAAAAAAGTACCATTCACACATGTTTTTCATAGTATATCTGAGGATATTAAAAAGCCAAATATTATATTTATTATATTTAACTTGCATNNCAGAAGTTATCTCAGGACATTTTCAAATAGAGCAGATCTAGACTTTACTCTGAAAGAGGGGACATATATATAGTTATGCTTTTTGTGAAATAATTATAGTAATGGTTTACAACTATCAAATAAAGAATATTAAAAAGTTGTAACTGAATAAAACTTAAAAAACACACAACTACATGCATGTTTCAGTTGTTGGTTTTTCTCCCTGTGCATTGTAATTCCTTGTGTGGACAAAGTATTTTTTAATTTCACTCTGAAACAAAGATCTGCTGGTGATTTAAGGTCATTTGAATTATTCAACACTTCAGTTTCAGCTGCTTCACTTTTTAGAAAAGCCTCTGTGAATATCACACAAAGAGAAGAGAAACTGGCCTCTAACCAAGAACCAAACGGGAGAAAAGGGTTATGCATGCTGTCATGAACGTCTGTGTGTGCCGCTGAGCAGAGAACGATTACGTGATGTTCATTGCAGGTTTGGGAACCGTATCTTCGGGCCGATCTGGAACAGGGACAGCGTGGCCTGCGTTGTTCTCACCTTTAAAGAACCGTTTGGCACTCAGGGACGAGGAGGCTACTTTGATGATTTTGGCATCATCCGGTGAGGGGAAAACAAATGAATCCCTGAAGTCTGTCTTTGCTCTGTAATATTAAAATTTAATGTATGTTTGTATCCAGGTTTGAAGTGAGGTTATATAAAAATGAGCAGAGAACAGTAACAGCAGCTTCTATACTTAGACACTGTGTTTGCTTTACTGTATATTATAAAAAGTACTTTCATTGGTAACACTTTACTTTAACCTCTCCTATTTAGCACTATATTTAGTAACTGGTTTATAACACACTATAAAGTAGTAATGTCAACAACTGTAAAGCCTCTTGTGAGAACCTGAAACTGGTAAATGAACAGATAATGAATGATGTTATAGTAAAACACAGTTGTAATCATATAAAATATGTCTTATAGGAGAAGTTATAATTGTTGACAATACTGTACATTAAGAAACACTATCCTTTATATCTGTGTAAAAGTACATTATAGTTAGATATGAACCATTTATTTATTGTTTATGTACTGCTTATATACTGTTAAAGTAAAGTGTTACCTTCTCACTCCATAAATAATCCACAGCAGCTCACTGTAAGTCATTATCCTGTACATGATGGATTGATTTGAGGTTTCAACAGTACATCAGTACCAACATATGATCAGTTTTAATTTTAATGAACATTTTTACATCCATCACATTCTCCTCTCTGTCTTTTGTGCGACCACCTGTTCCCTTTGTCATGATCAGCGATGTCATGCAGAACCACTTGCTCCAGATGCTCTGCCTGGTTGCCATGGAGAAACCAGCATCTACCAGCTCTGATGATGTCAGGGATGAAAAGGTAGAAAATCGACGCTCTTAGCACCTCCTCAAACACAACAAAATGTGTGACAATATGTTATAGTTCATGTTTTTAAGTGTGAAAATGGATCTGTTCTCTGGTGTTCCTCCTTGTAGGTGAAGGTGCTGAAGTGCATCGCTCCAGTGACAATGTCGGATGTGGTGCTGGGTCAGTATGTGGGGGATCCGGAGGGTGAGGGAGATGCCAAACTGGGTTATCTTGATGATCCCACAGTTCCTAAAGGATCGACTCAGGCCACCTTTGCCACCGCTGTGCTGTACGTGCACAACGAACGCTGGGATGGTAAACACGCCGCGCCCTCTACAAAACTAATCCTACTAATCTCACAGTTTGCCATGCTCTTTCGTCACATGCTGGCATTTAAAACGCTCCTGCTCCTCAGGTGTTCCTTTCATCCTTCGCTGTGGAAAAGCTCTGAACGAGAGGAAAGCTGAGGTGCGGCTGCAGTTCTCTGATGTCCCGGGGGACATTTTTGGAAATCAGTGTCGCAGGAATGAGCTTGTGGTGCGCGTGCAGCCCAACGAGGCCATCTACGCCAAGATGATGAGCAAGAAACCCGGCGTGTACTTCAGCCCTGAAGAAACTGAGCTGGACCTCACCTACAAGAGTAGATACAAGGCAGGTTCAAGTTGATTTTATGCAGTTAAAGAATTGACTATAACCTTCTAATTGAATAAAGTAATGTAAAAATGTGTGTCTTGTTTTCAGGATGTGAAGCTTCCAGACGCTTACGAACGTCTCATCCTGGATGTCTTCTGTGGAAGTCAGATGCACTTTGTACGCAGGTGTGTCTTTTTGTTTTCCACTACTGTTGTCTCATGTTTCTACTTGTAAACTAAACCTGTGTGTTGTAATAGCATGTAGCACGTGCTTTATGTGAGGTAACGGTTCTTCACACATTGTGCGTCTTCTCTCTGCCTCAGCGTGAAGGAAACACAAGTTATAAAAACCTGATACGTTTTTATATTTTACACAACAGCTCTGTTATATCCTCAACCACATGTTGATTTGTTTGTATCTGCAGTGATGAATTAAGGGAAGCATGGAGGATTTTCACACCTCTCCTTCATCACATAGACAATGAGAAGCCCAAACCTATTCCTTATAAATATGGAAGGTAAGAAAGAGTTGCTCACTTTGCCCTAAGTTGGAAGAGGAATTCAGCACACAGTGTCGATAATGATCATCTTTCTTTTCCTCACAGCCGTGGCCCAACAGAAGCGGACGACCTCGCGAAGAGAGTTGGATTTCGTTATGAAGGCACTTACAAATGGGTCAACCCTCACAGACTGTGAGTTGTGATGAGATGAGGGAGGAGTAGAGGTAGGATAGTAGGAGGGGTTGCAGCAGGGTAAGTGAGCCGTGTCATGTTCCAACACTGGAGTGTCTTTGAGGAAGGAGGTGTTTCCACTGTGTGGATCCATCGCATTAGCAACAAAGAAAGAAGCTATTTAAAAACAAATTGAGAATTTCTCAGGTATAAGGAGTTATTATTCTATGGAGCTAGTTCTTCAGACATTGAGAGGAGATGTGTGGATTCATGCTGTCATCATGGGATTTGATGTTAGTTTTTCTTATTTTATTTTATTCATACATTCACAGCAGCTTTCTATGTTGTATTTGAGAGGTGGGACCAAGTCAGTTGGAGAGGGAACAAAAAAACGAACCAGGATGTTTTTGTGAACAAAATAACTGTCTGATGAACTAGCTCCATGTCCCCTGTCTCCATTAATTTGGTCTTAATTTGTCAGGATGGTAAATGGAATAACAAGAACAGAGCAGAGTAACAATAGAGTAGAGCACTAAGAAAACACAGCTGAGTCATCCTCACCCAGTGCAAGTACTGTACCAAAGATGGTAACTGAACACAGCAGAGACGCGGAACAACAGGAATGATTGTTCACCGACTGTCACTCCTATAAACCTTCTGATTGTATTACCATTATGCTTTCACTGCATTTATTAATCACACTTAGCGGAATTTCTTTTTACAACTTCCATACTCTCTTGTTGCCTCCTTTGCCCAGAACCAAGGACATCATGGCTGTTTTAATAAATGGACTCTGTGGTACACAAAGGGCAATGCAGGCTGTTTCCTCTTCAAAGCATTCATACTGGAATAGTCTTAAGTGTCCTTATGGACAAGCAAAACGAGCTGTTGGTCTTGTTTAGTCGCCTTCCTCTGAGCTTCATTCCCTTTTGTTTACATTTTTAAGTTTTATTTAATTTACTTATGTTCATTCCATATTTCAAAGTATAGACCGCAGTGGTTTGTACCACAAGTCAACAGTGAATGTCTTTGTAATGACGTACTCACATGTAAAGCTAGCTACATTTCCACTACTTGTAATAAACTAGTTTTGCTTCTCTGTTAATGTGTTTCCTGATTTGTGGTACTAGTGTTTTGTTTGTTTGTTGATAGGTGTATGCTTATTTTTAAAATGACATCAGAATCTTTAAAGTTAGTAAATTTGGGAAATATGCTTTAATCATTTGCTTGCCGAGAGTTAGATGGAAGATCAATACTACTCTATAAATATGAAGCCAGAGCCAGCAGGAGCTTAGCTTAGCATAAAGACCTGAAGCAGGGGGAAACAACTAGCCTAGCCTGGCTCTGTTTAAAAAAAATCCACTTTACAACACCGGTCAAGTTCCCCAACCGACAGCACTGACGTCTTACTGCTTTAACTTGTAGAAAATACAAAGAGTAAAACATTTTGAAACGATAATTTGTGGTTCTATGCAGAGTTTTGTGCTTCATCTATCACTGAACAAACAGTGCTGTTACTGACAGCTTAGTGAAAGAGGGGAGCTGCTAGAAATGCAATAGAGCCCATAGATGATCTTTTAATGCAGAAACCAGATAATCCAGAAATCAAATTAAAGCAATAAATCTGTTTACATGTATGCTGCATGTTGTTAGCATTATAATACAATACTTTGTTGAGCAGTTTATCCCTTGTTCAGTGGATTAGAGGTTTTATCATCGTACCCAAATAACGTGCAGCATTAAAGAAGTTATGTTAACATTTAGTCTTACCAAAACAGTGCATGTATCCTTGAACACGAATTTGCTTTCCCCACCATAAAACATTTTCAAAGCCAATTTAAAGTTCTTTAATTCTATCATCTGTATTTACTTGCTAGCAGTCAGTTTTGCCTGCTTTCCTTGGTGCGTTACTGCCACCTGTTGATCGGTGGAATCGTGTGAAACCTCTGGCAGGACTGCGTATTGCAGGGTGAAACAAAATAGAGACCAACTCAGAAAAAAAGCTTCATAGAGCTGTCAGGGATTAAAAAAACTCCACAGGGAACCTTTTAAGGCTGTACTAAAGGATAGTTTGAAAAAAATCAATCTATAGGTCTAGATCGATCTATAAAGTTATATCTATATACATTTAGATAAATCTATTTAGCTATTGCTCTATAGATAAGAGACATATGGATATGAGATACAATAGGAATAAAAATGTACAAATGTCACAATTGAATTAGGAAAATAGTACAGTTTAATTGATTTACTCCTTAAAAACTTTATATTCTGGCAGTATTTCTTCCAACCAAGATTCCCACTGTGCAGTAGAAATAATAGAGATGGTTGCCTTTCTAATGAAAAATGATTCCAGCAGTGATTTGATGACTGAATTAATTTATTCACAGACATAATTTCCAAAAACACATCAGCCATAACACTGGAAACAAAGTCAGGCAGTCACGATAACAAATGGCATAGTGGACGGACGTTGTTAAGTCTTTGGTTTGACAAAAAAAAAAAATAAAAGACTACAAATGGCCAAGACATAGCAACCGTGCAATCTAAGGCACTTGCATTTATATGTTAAAAACAGTTGCTGTGCGTTCGACAGTATGTTGAATATACAGTACAAGACAGGGAATATTATAGTGAATTACGTAAGACACTTTAGAGAATACAAAGACGTAAAGAAAATGAGGTATTACATCTATAATTAAAAAACAACTTGTGGTGAAGGACAGGCATTCACTGGACGGCAACATAAATGTTAGATTACTATAATTCCCTCTACAGAAGGCCGTCAGTAGGTCTTTGTCCTGAGTGGTTGGCCCCGTCAAAATCTGAACGCATTATGTGTCATATAAACATTGTACAAACATGTTAGTAACTGAACAGCAGTCAAATAAAACTAAATGTTTTCTAAAATTCGTATCGAATTATAAATTATACTGACGTAAAGTCTGGATTCCTGTATTAGTGTTTTATTTTTATTTGGCTGCTGTCTAGAAAGCGACACCATGCATTGTGATTTCATCTGGCTCGAAAAACAAAAACAAATCTCAGGCAAAAAGAGCTATCTGACCAGGACGTGGGGAAATAAATCCCCACAAACAATTAACTTTCAATTTCTGGCATTTTTTAAAATGCTAAGGACAAAAAGTGGCCGAACAGGAACCGAACACGAACCGAACACACAAATGTGATGCAACCTTCTCCACTCGCTGGCTGGAGACTTTTAGTTGCATGACAGCTGTGGAGTGACTGCTCAGCCCCGATCCATTTCTGACAGGTAACGGATGAAAAGTTCTTCATTCAGAAGGCACTTGGTCAGTTTGCTGTTTTTTTTACATGTGCTCTGGGTGGTTCTGCAAGCAGCTTATGAACTCTGTGACTGGATGGCCCTGATAGCAGATCTGATACACAGCATTGAACAGTGGGAACCTGGAGGGAGGAGGAGGAGAAGGAGGAGGTGTTGTGAATAATGCTGGATGATGTAGTGCACATGGAAACAGTGCTACGATTCAGTGTGTCGTGTTTACTTACTTTTCAATGAGGTTTTTGTGCTTGAGGATGAGATAGACCTCAGCTGCTGTTGCTGGTCCCTGCAGCTTCTGACCATTCAGCATCTCTTTCTCCAGCTCCTCAATGGACTGAGGAAGAGAACAAACACGACAATGTGTCACATATATACACATTTCAGTGTGTGGCAGACTCTAAATGACACATTGATATGATCCAGCATGCTTGAATAGTTTGTCGATGTTCATGTTAACAGTATAAATAGTACTTTCTAGAGGCCGAGTAATTATTTGTCCCTTTAGTTATGATAAAAAGGTTGAAGCTTTTATTTTGAAGGAGTAATGCCAGGGTCCTGTGTTTACTGATGCTGTAACACGTTAACACATTATGACTGGCTGTATGTCAGAAAGGGTTCGGTTGCTGTGTGTTCGCTACATCTCGTTAGTTGCTTCCATAATCAGGTCTAAAAAAAAAAAAACTTAAACGATGCTTTCCTTGCATCTCTGCTGAGAGTTGCACATGTACGGCCAGTCATCATGTGTTACATCGCCTGTAAACACGACAAAAATGCACTTTTTGCTTCTTCCCACCTGACTTTATTTTGTTTCATGTATTTAATGTTGAGTAGAACCCATTTTTATATATTTACTGAGTGTGAAAGTTTGAATAAGCAAAGTAAAAAGTGATTTATTATTTCAAGTTTTTATATATATATATATAT